ATTTCCTTCTCACCTCATACTTTTCTCCATTTGGTTTTCTTCATCTTGATGTAATGAACATGCTAGCTGTTCACTCATTACTTCAGCAAATGAGACTGGCTCAACAGTTACAGCTGGCATACCCCAGGGTGAAGGTTTACTGTCTGGCATAGGCTGGGAAGAGGTGTTACTTACCAGTACAGGAGCCTCCATCTTTAGTTCAACACCAGAAAATTAAAAGCAAAGTCAATATTCAAAATATAAATTAAAAAAATAATAATAAATAAAAAGGACAGGCATTATGACTTCTAAATTTGTGAAAAACAAACATGTACCAGCCACGAGAAGGGATTTCTACAGATAACTGATATACTAATAATTTTCCATCATCATTACAGAATATAACTCTTCCATTTAACTGAGAAACACAACAGGACATGATGAATTGTAGATGGCACATTAATATCCACAACAATGTTTTTACAAATCCCCATTAACATAAAATGTTGGTTGCATTTTTCTCATGCATCACATATAAACAGAGGCCCAAAATCAATGTTTACAGTTTTGCTAATACTTTCCTGCTAAAGTTATAAAAATATAGTGGACATTGAAACTTTTTAAGGAAATGAAAAAATAGTTTATACTCATGTGAAGAAGTATGCCCATTTTAGTTTAGATTATGGTAGGTAGAACTTGCTTGAAATTTTGTATTGGTCCATCAAAATCTAATAAGCTGGCCAAGCCAAGTATAACTTTTACCATAGATCAGAATTAAACATATATATTTAGTAATGGGCATAGCTAATTAAGTATAATGACAAACTATATATTACTTATAATGGTCAAATTATATTACTGATAACGATCAAACTAATAAAAACAAGATGACACAATGCTTAAAATCACACAATATAAAAACCTTTATTGAAGGCACCAGGCTTATAATAAGAATATTTTGTTGAATGCATATTAGTTTTTAAAAGACTATTGACTAGAGCTGGATGATAATGGAATTTGCTTACTGATTAATCATTAATCATCTGGCTCATTAACCAATTATCCTCACATAAGACTTGGCACACGGAATAATCAAAAACAGTAATAACTGAAAATTATTTTGTTTAGTTGATTATTTAGTCATATATTTACTTAACTGATAATTTTACATGACACTAATTGATGCCTCATTAAAGTGATTAATCAAGTTAATCTCCCAGCTCTACATGCATGTACTTGATATTGAATTTTAGAAATAAGTTCCTTATTGTGAGAAATGCAGTGACGTTATGGAAACAAAAAAAAGAGAAATATTTTAGTGCAATCACTGATAAAACCTTAAAGCCCTATGCTGAGTACATAGTTGTATAAAGTGCAAATAGAAATCTTGATTTTTCATCCATAGTTTTTGTTAAAGTATTACCTTTTGTAATTTCAATTCACCTCATTAATATTTTAAGGCCAATTTTTGGCAGAATGATTCTTAGAAAGATAGATTATGGATGCATTTTAGAGTTTGTTATTGAATTAAAGAATAATAAATGGTAATTATTATATTTCCTATTAGCAATTATTATTGAATTATATAATCACATTTTTATTCACATAAATATGAATATAGTTAATTTTTTTCATACCAAATACATTTGTGGGACAAGTTTTGGGAATGCAGTAAAACCTTTTAAATCCAGATACATTTGTAAAGTAGCAGATAGTTCTTCCAGTTTATCGAGATATTCAGATAACCAATTCAGGCATTTTATATGCAATGATTAATATATTAACAGTCATTATCAACTGATAAATGCAAAGGTTCAAACCAGTAAGAGTAGCCATGCAATTGATAAAGAAAAGACAATTGTATGTACAATAAACTTATCAGTTTATTATGTGTCATAATCATACAAATTGCATATTCAAAGTAGCATACTATGTCGTCACTTTTACAGAAATCGCCATTTTGTGCAAACCACAGACTTACAGAACACAAAATATACAGTGTAGGCCAAATATGCAACAAATCACTTTCCGAAGAGGTTGTATTAAGTCTGCTTTTGAACTGAATTCTTAGCAGCTTTAAGCAAATAACACATTATCGAGTAGAGCAACTTCATGTGACTGTAGCATAATTCTTTCTGGTGACCTATCAATATCTGTTATAGCTTACGCATACATACCTAATGTGAAAGCCGTTCAGAGAAGAAATTGTTGTAAACTGGTATCCACTGCAAGAGCAGGTGTTTTGTGGTTAGTAATTATAACCTTGTTTCCCACTTGACTTTCAGTGAACAGTATACTGATTACTGAATCATTTTGTTATATAAAATTCATGTTTTGATAATAGAGTTAGTAAAAAAAAAAAGACCTTTACACTCCAGATAATAAACAAACTTTAACTGATGTTAAAAGTTCTCTTATAATTATCTGGAGTGTAAAGGTAATTTTTTTCTAACTTTGTTATCAAAGTCTGTAAATTCCTCCAGTAGGCACTGAAAATTCTGATTCAAATAAAATTCATGGGTGTGTGTTTTAAGAATGCACATTTCTTATAAGATGTAGCTGTTTGAACTCAGACCATGAATATACAAATTCCTGAATAGATTTATCATTCTGAAGATTTATTCACATAAAAAATGATCTGGATTGTGGATAATTCAGGTTGCCAATGCCCTGAGTTACAATATTTCACTGCACAGTGTACACAAAATGTGTAAAGTGAACTACAAAAATTGCATTTTGAGCCTTCACTTTGGAAAGCTTAAAACTATGTCATAACGTGTATCAGACAGCCAAAAAATGCATTAAAAATTAAACTTGCCAATATCTATGTAGATAAAACCAATATAATAAGAAGAGACACTAAGATAAGATTTTACTATAGGAAGATACGTCTTAAAAATATAAAACTAGATAACAAAAGGCCATTAACACCACCAGGATCACCCAACAACAACAAAAATCCATCTAAATATAACACTTCACATCCATAAAATTATCAAACAAAACCTGCAAGGAATGCATAACTGCCAGCATGTACATCATCATGTAGTATATCAGTCTACAAGTTAATCAAGTCTATCAAATAAAAACTGAGCCTTGACTTTAAAAATCTAGACTTATTTGATATAACATTCAGGAATTGATCTACAGCTTTACCTTTCAAATACTCTAGTAAAACTCTCACAGTATTCTTTTGAATAAAGTCTTACCAAAGTTCTGTATAATATCTTAATAAACTACCTTACTCCTAAACTCCAAATGTGTGTAAGTAGATCTCAGATGATTATTTGAGAGCCTTATATACAACTATGCTTGGATTTTGTTTTCAGGTCATACTATTGAATGGGTTCCCATCTATATTAAACATGTGACCCAAATTATTATAACCTAATGCATTACCTTTCAATTACTAGAAATGTCATTTCCCAAATAATCCAAGTCATTCCACAATACCCAAAATTTTAATGTCATCAACAAACTTGACTAATTTTCTAATTATGCCCATACTAATATCATTAATGTAAAAAAGAAAAATCGAAGACTCAAGCTCTGACCTCGTATCCAAACCATTCCACTTATTACTTTCTCTCACCCAACAACCCTCCAATCCAATCAACTCCCACCGAAGTAATTTTCTAAGCCAGTATTATGTGTGGCACTTTACAAAAAACCATGAGAAAATCTAAATACATCAAATCCTTTCGATCATTCAGATAACAAGTACCATCCTCGAAAAAGGTTAACATTTTTAATAAGGCAAGAGTTTCCATAAGTGGATCCATATTGTTTCTGTGTTGTGCTATCATACTTCGCTAAATGATTTTGCAAAGCTTTTTTATCAGACTCTAGAATTTCTCCCACTACAGAATTAAAAGTAACCAACTTATAATTCCCAGGATGGGTCTTTAACTTATCATCCCATTCAAAAATAGGTGTAATTAATAACTCTCTAATCCCTAAGTCACCTACTCACTGTTTATTGACCACAAATGAAAGAGAATGACTCACATATCTGACCTTTAACCTCCTGTAAAACCCTGAGGAAAATACTGACTAGTCCTAATGCTTTATTTTTAATCTTTCAATATTTTCATTTACCATCAAATGATAAATAATTCATAATTCCAATTTTTCCAAAGGAAAGCTCAGAATCAGGAAAAATGCTTACATCCTCTCTTTAAAAAAAAAAGAAAACTTTTAAAAGCTCCACTTTATAGTCAACAAAAAAAAAATTCTTTCCATCATCATTTCCAAGCCCAATCCCTAACATAATATTTTATTTAAATTTAATATATTTAAAAAAATCATTGTTATTAGTTTTAATATTATTAGCAAACTGTTTCACATAAATCCCTTTTTTTAACCTCAATCTTTGTTTCCTATATTTCTGTAATCTTCCATCTCATCTGTGAATTTAAACATCTTACACTTATGATACTTATCTCAGTTCTCCTTTAGGTCTATTGCAAGTTTTCCCTGTAATAATTTTTTTCCTTTTAGAAACATGCTTATTTTCAATTAAAAACCATTAAAAGTGTACAAACTTGTCTCATACCAACTTTAAATTCATTACCTCAATTCAATAATGATAAATCTTGTCTCATGGCCCCAACACATTCTGAAAATAAGGAACTAAAACTTAATTTATTAAGCTTAATCTCAACATGTAGCAATACACCAAATCTAAAATTTATGTAGATACTCTTCCCCAAATATTTTTCTACTTTAATTCTTATAATCTTATCCTCTTTTGTGGTAAGCAATAAATTAAAAATGGTATCCTTTCTGGTTGGTTTTTAGACCCTTTGGTATAGAAAACCATCCCGAATCTCCTCTAAAACTTTCCCTTCACTGCTTGACTGCATATACCCCTATGTTTATTTATATAATTACACCAATGTCCTATTAGTAACAGCCCTGATCTTATTACACAATTTCTCGTTGAAATCCATATGAACTGGAAGGGATATACCAAGTAAAAGCTTTCTACCTTTGCAACACAAATAACCCATATACATTAAACCTCTGACTATACTCTTTTGTCCTCAGTCTCAATGGGCTGCAGCTCATACCTTATAAAGAAAGTCATTCCAACTCTTTTTAAAAATTTATCACTACTAATTAGTTAATTCCTATTATCAGTCTTTCCTACATATCACAGTCTCCCATTTCAACTTGTGCCCAAATATTCTTAAAATTTGAATAGGACCTCCCTTCTGTCAAGTTTCAGTTAAAACCCCTATCAATTCATTACTTTGCCTCTTTACAGTCACAGGATAAATCTCACCAGAGCCAAAAACTCCACTAGTTCTAAGATTTCTAAGCTTTCACAAAATATGATTTTATTTAATAAGGTTATCTAAGAACTGCTTTCTTCATTTAAGATTATTAATCAGCTTAGGAATCTCATTATTATCATCTTTGTAAAACAGTTAGCAGAAAAGTTGTTTAGTGCTTCAGCATCGGTGTTCCTCTTCAACAATAAAGTTACCCATTTAAAGTTCTCTTTAAAGTTCAATATTTTCTGTGGCTTTTTTTCTGTTAAAATAAGCATTAAAAAACCCTTAGGTACAAACTGGTATTATAATCTTAGAGCCTTTTTTGCTTTATCTTTTTTTTTTTTACTTTTGTTTTCTGCATCTTGAATTTTATCAATGATATCCATATTCTTCTATGTTTAATTTGTTAAAAATTTAATATTTCTGTTGAACCATTTTGTATTTGGTTTCTGGTATAAATATAAAAAATTTTAAAGAATAAAAATATTCTCAACAAAGTTAAATGATTTAGGAAGACAATTCCAAGAATCATTCACACTTTTATCTTTTACTTTCAGGCAGCTTTCCTAATAAGTTTGTTATAATCAAACTAAGTCGTTTGTAGGGGCTGCCTTTTTAAAATCAGTGAAATTACATTTACCCTGAGCAAACCCTACAAAATTCAAGTAATGCAGATACTTCTGAGACGAACAGTTTCGAAACTACCCATATACCATAACTGGCATAAGGTTTATTTACTCTATCTGGTCTCAAACTAACACTACAACTAGTACTAGTACTAATTTAATTGATTAGTCCTAATAAACTAGCATAACGTACACTGAGCGGTCACAAGTAAATAGACACCTAATTTTTCGTCATTTAACTGATTTATGCTAACTAATTTGTGTTCACAGAGCACTATATAAATAAAAATGGTTTGCACACTAATTATCTTGTGCTACAACATGCCTAGAACTCAAGGTTCTCTCAAATTGTCAGATTTTGTTAGAGGAAGGATAGTTGGTCAAGCAAATGGTGGAATAAGTCAGCGGCAAATTTCGCAGAATTTGGGAATCCCGCTTTCGACAGTCAACAGAATCATCGTGCAGTTCAGGAAACACAGCAAGGAAACAACTGAGCAGCATCGGGGTCGTCCTGGTCTATTGGAGAGGACAAAAAGGGCTGTCAAGAGGAGCATCGAAATGGATCCCAGATTAACAACTGCAGAAGTTAGTGGGATGAGCCCGAAATCTGTTCAACGGATTCTCCACAGATTGGGTTATCGTTGCAGAGCAGCTTGACGAAAGCCTATATTAAGACCTGCCAACATAGTCAAACGAAAGAAGTGGGCAAGTGATATGATGACCAAGCCTCTGGATTTTGGAAGACCGTATGTTCTCAGACGAATCAAGATTTGCTCAATTTTCAGAAAGT